AGGATCATGTGACACTGAAGACTGGAGTAATGATGCTGAAAATGCAGCGTTACCGTCACAGGGATACATTCATTTTAAAATATATGAATAGAATACAGTAATTTTATTTGATAAAAATGACAAAATCTTTCGGAGCCCAAACTTTTGAACGGTAGATTCAAGATTGTTTGCGAAAAGGATGTTTCTGTTTCGCAAGTCTTTAGCTTGTCAGGGTGAAGGATTTGTAAAGGGTTTATTTAAAGTTTTTAGTAAATAGTACAAATGGTCAAGTTTGTTTTATAAAATGAAAAATATATACAATTAGATTGTACTGAAAGCACTTCACAAAAAGGTTCAATTTGTTAACATTAATAAATTGTTAGTATGATTAACTCAGTCCCTGCCAGTATTTTTGATAAACGTTGCCTGCCACCGCCAGCATTTTTGATGATTTTTACAAGTTTTACGGCCCCCAGAATATTTTATCGTATAAACATTTCATTCGGCAGTATTATTAATTTACATATTCATGTACTTGCATGTGGCTTGTTTCTGCTTCTTCTTCACCTGTGTTTTGGATCAGTAGATTCTGCACTCTGCCACAAGGTGTCCTAGCGCCCCCTACTGTATAACAGTAGAAAAACAGTAGAAATGTCCACCAATGGCAGGGAAAGAGTTAAAATGAAAATGTAACTAGATTAATAAATAATGTAAAATATGGTTAATTCAAAATAATATACAATATTAATAAAATGAACCTTTGTGTAAAGTGTTACGGTTTTGAATCGCTTCTAATAAAAATGTGCTTGTAAGTGCTTCACTAAACTCTTTATAAACCCTCTGTAGATAGTTGTGGACTAAGTAATGTATCAGAGACTGTTGTTATTATTAATTTTTTCTATATGTGGTCTGGTTGATGGATGTCTCACCGTGTTTTCAGGAATGAAGAGAACTGTTGTGAACTATAACCAACTTTATGAATAGTCCAACTCTGTAAATGAATGTTCAGCAAAGATATTCCTTACGACTCACAGCGTGTTTGTCCCCACAGCACAACATGCCCTTCTGGCGGATATCCAGCCATTCTGACCTGCTTGCCCTCCATCAAGCACTGGAGTTCGAGTACCTGTAACACTCGACACCTGTATCATAGGCCTTTTTTTGTACAACTATTTAAGAACGAGAGTACACTGCAATCTCTTTTTATGTTGTTGTTGTTGTTGTTGTCTTTTTGATTATTTTTAAGAAAACTCTGGCTTTTAAGATAATTCTGCACTGTCTTAAGAAGACTAGGACAGACTAGTATGAGGGAAAATGGGATTATAATGGTCAAACCAGGCTTGTAAAGAGCTTACTAAGGTCTTACGTCACACACACTGCATTTCATTTCATGAGGTGAGTTCTTCCAGGGTTGAGGTGAACCCTTGAAAGCGCATATATCCACACTCATCTACAGGAGCTTAGACTTCATCTCCACTTAAACAAGCAGCGCTGTACTCTAACAAGGAGCATTTAGAATAGACACACAACTCATGTAAATTATTTTACAGGAACTAGATTAAACACTAAAGGACGCTGTGTTTTCACATGGTATTGTTTTGATTTTGTCTGGGTTTTTTTTGTAAGTTTTTGACAAAAAAAAGTCTGTGTATAATTTGTTGTGCCTTATAAGATGTTTCGTGTGTCAGTTTTTATTTTGAGAATGTATGTAGATAAACGAAAAATGTAAACAATTGAGATTTTCTTGAGTTCTCTATTTTCTAAATGTTAAAAAACAAACAAACATATAATCTGCTGTTATTACTGGTGCCTCTGAAGGAAAGACAATCCAAAGATTTTTTTTTTTTTTTTTTATGTGAGGAAACATTTGTATTTTGATTCAAATCATAACAGATGGAAAGAAAAGGAAAATAAAAGTCAAGCATCAGAAAAAAAGCTTTAATAGGTTTGGCTAATTTTTAGTTGTTTTAACTTTAGCATCTTGCTGTAGTTTCATCCTGATGAATAGACTATGCTGGTTGCATAGTGCTGAGGTGTCTAATTCAGGTAATGCAAGTCCCAACTACACTATTTTTCAATGTAATAAAAAAAACTTTTCGAAAGCATGTTCACTTTAACTGAATGACAGACATTTGTACTATTTTTAAGCCAAGCAATTTGGAATTTTTTTATTTTTGTTATAGGTTAAAGTATTTCAATATTCTTTTTAGGAGCATGCAATTTTTTCACACATTTCAAGAGATTTTCAGATGTCCTCTTGATTGGAACTGAAGAGATGCTGTATTAAACGGTAAAAACACAGTATGTGAAAACTATCTATATATTCAAGATATTATACAGCTTCAATTATTTAAATTGAGTTTGTTTCCGTTCAACCAGCAGAAAAGAACTTCATAGAAGTTGAATGTCATGCGTCTTTGATTTCGGGATGTGAGTGGCTCCATCAAAATCTCTACAACCAGTGAAGGTACAACTCATGGGAACCCAACCCAGACTATTAGCTGACAGTTCTTAAGTTAAAAATAGACCAAATTTGCTCAGCTCTTAGAAACTTACATTGCTCTTTTTTTTAGTCTTAACCTTAAATCAATCTGGTTTGGGGGTAACAGAGACCTCTACATGTTAAAGTTAAATTATATCTCAAAAGCAGTTTTATATTCATTCTTGTTATTTTAGACCTAATGCATTAATTAATAGGATGACATTTTTGGGTCCTGAGACTACCACATAAGATAAGTAACTTATTACAATTTAACCACCATCATGTTAACCCTAAAACCATATTCTGGACAAATGTGGGCAAAATAGTTTTGATTTATTTCTAAAAAAAAAAAAAATAATACTTCCCTCGATCTGAGTGGTACAAGACTTGGCTACTTTTCCTAAGTTTACCTCCTGAACACATTTTTTTTTTTTGTTTTACTCAATTCTACAATGTTAAACGGGTGAACAAAAACCCTCCCTAATCTTGTATTTGGGTCAAAAAATGGGCACCTATAGAAATGAATGGGAAAAACTGTAATTTAAAGCATTTTAAAATAAGCCAAAATAAGACACCAGGTGACAGCAGTCACTTCACCTTTAGGTTTTAACTCTAATAACTAATTTGAATATTTTAATGTAGTTAAAAATAAATAAAACATAAAATAACCATAATTTACATAGAAAATATGGTACTTTTTGAAGTAAATTCAAAAATACCCCCAAAATAATAATAATTAAAAAAAAAACACCATAAATGATAGACAAAACAATATCAAAGACAGTGATATAACATTTATAATAAATAAAAACTAGGATCACACCCAAGTCCTCTGTGCCCACAATCACAGGATTAAGGGCTATAAAGTGAATACGGTTTGAGGGCTTCAACCTCACATAGGTTCAGCATAACAAAAAGTCTATGAAGAATTTTGCCAACCCTAATACTCACAAACCGAATGAGATCAGAAGCTTTGATTTTACCTTAGTGTTAGAATTTCACTCCATTTAAACTTCTACAAACAAATTAGGTTTTCAGATAAACCACACATTTTAATTTGGGTAATTTGCATGATTTGTTACAATTCCCAAGTCATTTAAAGAACACACCAACAAAATTCAGTTTCCAAAAGATGTTTTATTTGGCGCCTTATTTCTTGGATTTGAAGTACTCCTCAATGACGTCCTTAGCCTGGGACTCTTTGCCGTAGTCCTGCAGACAGACACGTGAAAACATTAGATACTTTAAACATTAACACATCAGAAAAATGCAATAAACAAAAGTAAACAAATCTCCCAGTTATCCAGTAAATTAAGCACTTGTTGCCCTTCTAGGGGACCTCGAGAGTCAAAAAAGGACCATGAGGCTCGTGTTCAGGCGTTCAATCTTGCCAAGACATTTTTTTTTAAAAACAGACACAGGGCACAGAGAGCCAGTATCTGGACTCGACCTGGCTTAAACACCCTGAATTTGAAGCCCAACTAACAGAATGCATCATAAGATTCAGAAAACGTGAAGTAAATTAAACAGACTCTAGATACAAACCTTGATGACTACACAGCTGCAGCCCACCACCTTGCGGGGTTTGCCCTCTCTGTCGATCTTGCATAAACCGACCCACTCACCGAGCTTCTTATTGTCATCAACCTATGGAAGAGGACACAGAGACAGTTATATTTTGCTACTACACACCTTTAAGCAGCAATTCAGGCATTTTAATTCACATCAGGCTTATGGGTGCAAATAAGAAGTTGTTGGCAATATAGTTGTTGGCACTTTACAAAACAAAGTAATTCCAAGAGGGTCCTTGCTCTGGCCCCAATTTTGATTTTTAATGAGCAATAAAAAGAAATTAGATCATTTTCTGAAGGGAAACATGAGTGATGCCTGCAACAATAGGCTTTAGTTAATTGCAACCGTTAGGATGTTCTGGGTGGTCCATTTCAAAAGAGCCCAATGCCAAAGCTCAGTTCTCACTTTCAATGCAAGCATATGAGGCTTCTTTACCAGTTTTATAGACCACCAGGACATTGGGTTTCAATCCTAGAGACCCATAGGACAGTGCATTTTGAATATCTCTTATTGTAAAGCCCAATTTATACATTTGTTCCATGCCCTGACATGCACCTCTCCAAAAATGTAACATCGTGTCAATTCTACACAGACTGCAAGCGCTGCGATTGGTCTCCTAGAACCCCTCCCTCGGGTTTCAAATTCAGGTGTAATTGCACGTTAACATGGACAAAGACTTAACGTGTAGTCTACAGCATAGAGGTGATAAATCACTTTTAATTACGTAGGCTAATGCTTAAATTCTGACTCAATTAACCAATAACAATGCATTACTCTTATAGCGTGTTCCCACCTTGATGAGGTTGATTTGATGCTCGGCACAGAGAGCCTCCACCAGCTTGACATACATGGGCTCGTCACAGTTGGCTGCCAGGACGCAAAGATGAGCCTGGCGCCTGTGAAAAGAACAAAGAAAGACCATGATGACCTTTCAATCTCCTCCAACAGGTATGAACGACACGTCAACAGTATCTCAGACAGAAATTGGGTAACGAATGGCAGTTGTCCTCAGAGACTTCAGAAGAGGGAGCCAAATTATCATCATAGACACAAAGCAACATCTTAAAGATTTTAAGTTACTTCTTACTTGTCGAGGGCCTTGGCGGCCTCACGAATACCGCGGGCCAGACCGTCGTGGATGAGTGCGGTCTTCAGCACTTCAGGCAGAGCGGTGTTGACATCCATCACACCTCCGGCACTGATGCTGTGAAACATACAAAAGATTGTTAGGGTGTAAAGAGTCAGGCGTGTGCACGCGTGTGTGTTTAACGACCTGCGGCTTCTCAGAATGAAGTCTCACTCATAATTAGAGTGAAGGGGTATCCGACTAAAGATTGAAAGTTCATCATAGCCGAGGTCACCCTATACAGATACTACCGGTACAAGTGAGTAATTTAACACAGGGACCAACATGGAGTTGATTTAGACGTTACAGGCGTGTGTGTCACTCACATATAAACAAACGCATTAAACAAGTAACGTTACATACTTATTAGCGTGGCACAAAAAAAATGCATTTAGATACGAGGGCCAATATTTACGGTTTAAATAACGTGAATTGGACTTAAGTTATCCCGTTAACAATTTATATTAAGCCAACCCTCGCAACTAAATCAATGCGTCAACAAAAAAAACTAACGAAACTCACGTGTGGGCTTTCATTGTACTACGCAGCTTATTCTGTTATTATTCAACGGAATAAAGGCGCACGGCTTTGAAACATGAGGGCAAGTAAACACTAGGATTAATAGTAACAGGTATTCAATATTTTCTCTATAAAATTTAAACTACATACTAGAAGTGTGGATGCATCAGTACTAAATAGCGCAGTGAGAACACTATCACTCACCCTTCCTCGGCCATTGTAGATTAGCGATGGATGAAAGGATAGATTTCTGAAATAAAGGCATAACACGATCGATATATTAATATCCATTCCTTCCGATACATCTTTGATCACTTTAAAGACAGGATGTCAAGTATTTTAGACCGATTCAGTCAGAGATTACAAAAGTTCGCCCTACCTTCCCTCTGACTGCGGGTAAAGAGGACGTCATAACGTCGACAACACTGTTTTAAGCGCAAAAGGCCCCAACCGACGGTGTCCATCTCACTGCCTGCATGGAGGAGAGCCACGCCGAGCCACGCGGAAATCTTTTTGTTTTTTTAGGGTAGAGTTTTCTTGTTCTATTTTAGAATTGTTTGTTGATTTTTTTTTATGTAGCAAATATATTTTTCTATATTTTTAAACGCCATTTTAATACTTCTTAAATGCGATAGCATAGACACATTAATCCACCACTAGGGTGCGTTATGTACACGGTATATAATATGCGCCTCAATTTTTTTTATTTTTAAATGTATATATTTATATATTGCACTTAAAACACACTTAAAATGTATACATTATCTAGACATCTGAGCCATTTTTTTCCAACTGCTTCCAACTAGTGTCTGGATGATTTTAATGCATGTGGTAAAACCACGTAATTTACTGGTTGGGCGCACTGTAATTAATGTACTGTGTAATCTCGGTGGAGAAAACAGAGAGAATAATCCCAAATCCCCTCATGCAAGTTAAGGCATGCCACACTCATATATTTTATGGTGTGTAACGTTAGGTGTGTAGGAGTGGAAGAAGTTCTTGTGGTAGGTGGGGCAGTCAGGTGAACTGTCAAAACTTGCTTTCCTGGTCCTTGAGTTGGCTGAGTTTACTGTAATTAAACGCTCACACAGCTTACTGAAATACTTCAGCCGCCACTTCTATTTTCAACAAACCTTTTGATTTGATCTTTTTAAAAGATGTCTGTCACAGTGTATTTCAGCAGTGTTAGTGGCTCTAGAGAGGTGTGTATCTGTTTGTTTTTGTGCCTTCTCTGACTGTCTAACATTTGATACTCGCTGTTTGAAACTAAACGTGCTGAACTTGTCTGTTTTATGTATTATATGTTTGATGTCTTTATGTTAAATGACATCAGTGAAGAAGTTGTCTCTACAGTGATACAAATGTGTCCTCTGGATTATGTGAAGCATTTGTATGCGTGTGCGTTTGCTGAAGGATAAAACATCTCCTAGGTGCTGAAGAACATGAAGATTTTAAGTTAAAAACAGATAGGGGACAGTTAATTTCTTGTCACATGTCTGTCTTAAGAAAGTGTGTTGTCAAAGGTACATAGTTTTCCATCTGTTTCTTCAGGTAAAGCAACATCAGACTGAGATTTTCCAGTTCCTGGATTCCAAGAGGATCAAGTACCGTGCTTTGGACATCACAACAAGCACTGATGTGAAGGAGGAGATGAGGAAGAAAGTGGGAAACCCGTCTGCGATGCCGCCTCAGGTCTTTAATGGGGACAAATACTGTGGGGTGAGTCTCATTTTGCTATCTTGTTTTTAAAACTGGCCTGTAAATTAAAGGACAGAAAGTAAACCGCATCAAACCAACCTCAAGGGAAATGGTCAATTGATTTGATTTTATGACCAGCTTTAGACGGTCACCACACTTCTGCTCCCATCTACTACACTTTCACAGCAGCGATTCCTTTTAAACAGTCTGAAGCAATTTATCATTATTTATTTCTTATAGTTTGCAGAAGTGTTATATTTGACCGGCTTCATTGCTATGTTATCTTTAAAAACGACAACTGATGTCATGATAAAAATCAATTCATATTTTAATTTGCATTCATATTTTCATTTTAATACCATTACAATCATTCAGATGAATGTTTAGAAAGAAAATATTTTTATTGGAAAAATGATTTTGCATTACACATCAATCTATCAAATAATGTGACTAAGTTCAGTATGCATGAGTTTGTCTGTTAATTATATCAGTTTTAAGTCATGGAAACACAAATATTTCCAGTAAGTGGGAGATACAAAACAAGTTTTTGTAGTGTATGTTAAGGAATTAATTTTTTGTTGCACAAACAACACTTAAAACAAAAGCCTTTGCATATAGACACATGAGACCTGTCAGGCTCGTTCACGTTCTTCTAAATAAAAACACACCCTTAAGAACACTCCCATCGACTATACATGTTTCCATTGCTTGAAGTGCACCAGTGTTTTTTTGTGCCGGCCTCCTGCCGGCCTGGGGAACATCTTGACATTCTCTTATGATGCTCAGAACAGCACATGCCGCTCACAAATGAGTAAATAAGCACACAACTCAGATTCCAGACATGCACTGTGTCTGGGTGTACTGAGCATTAGTGAGGCGTTCATCTTTCAATGGCACATTTTTATTTGTGGAAACCATTAAAGGGTCATTCCACCTCTGGAAAGAAATTATTTTTGAATTTGGAGCTTTCTAGACTGAGAAAAGCCAGAAAATGTGGATGAAAGACAACAATTCCCAGAATGCACTTGCTTCGTTGCCCTAGGAGGCCACGCCCACAGGGCGCAGTAGTTAAACAACAGTCTATGTTACTAGTGAGTCTCCGTGATGAGTCTGCCCGAAAATGTGTTTCGAGATCGCCCAAAATGTCCGGGATTCGGCTTTTGTCTTCAACAGTCGCCATTCATCATGTTTACATGTTTACCCAATGTTAAAACGCACATCAGCTGATCACTGTTTTAGCGTTCATGTAAACATTACATTCAGATTCCCCAATCAGAATGAATTCAGTTAGATTGAAACAAAAGCTGTGCATGTAAACAATGCATGCCGACTGCAGAAAGCAAAAGCTGAATCCCGGACATCGACGGCCGGAAATGTCCAGGAAAAAGAGGACGGTAACCCCTAAAGTTACACTTTATTTTTGCGTCATTATAGGAGGAAGTGAAAAAAGTAAATGGCAGATTTCTCTCGTCTCAGGGGAAAATGAGAGAGTGTTGCATGACCATTCAGTAGTATAACTGGGTTTCTAAGCTTAATGCAAATGGGTGGAGTGTCCCTTTAAAAATTTAATTTTATAAATATATATAAGCATATTCTGTTTTTGTGTTCATAGGACTATCAGAAGTTTTTTGATGCAGTGGAGGATGGGAAACCAGAGCTATTCTTCAAACTCTGAGCTACTGTAGGCACACTGCACTAAATCCTTGCATTTTTAAGAGATTTTATATGTTAAGGAAATACGTATTTTGCACCATTAAATAAAAAAAAAAAGATTTTCTATCAAGTGTATCTTTACTTAATGTTGTATATAAAAGTGTATCTCGTCACATTTTGGAGTAAAGATGAACAACTTCCCTATTTGTCCACTAGGAAGCAGTGTTAAATCTTTCATTATATAATTCAGTGGCCATGCGTTTTTCCTCTTAATTATATAAATAGTAAGTCAACACAGATTGGACATGTAAATGCAGTTTATTCTGGGAGGGAATAGTTTAATCTAAACTTAATCTTAAATGATCTTTATATATAATTATCTATGCATATTTAATTATTTTGAGATCAAGCAATATTGTTGTTTGAACACTGTATCCATTGTTACTAGTATTCAACTCATTTGTAGCAAACATCTGTATCTATTTATAGAGGAAACATATTTTCTCACGCTCCCTACATCAACCGCTTATACTAGCTAAAGCAAAACTGACACATTCAAAGGCATGCTGGGATATCTTGAGTGTTACAGTAGTATTTTAAAGGTAAATGCAGTCCACCCATATTAAACAATAGCTTATAAAAGCATTTGAACAATTAATCCAGGACAACACTCATTATGCAAAACAATTGATTTGAATTAAAAATAAAATAATTAGTTAACACATTACAATAAGGTTCATTAGTTAACATTAGTTAGCATGAACTAATAATGAACTGCACTTTTAATCTTTGTTAATGTTAATTTCGACATTTACTTATACTTTATTAAAATGCTTGTTAACATTAGTCAATGCACTGTGAACTAACAATGAACAGCTTTATTTTTAAGATAAACAAATACCATAACAAATCTATTGCTCGTGGTTAGTTCATGTTAGTTAATACATTAACTAATGTTAATTAATAAACCTTATAGTGAAGTGTTACCATAATTAAAAAAAATAAAATAAATAAACAATTTGTTTTAAATTTAGAATGGCACTTTGTTTGACATTTTTGAAATGTCAAAGTGCATTTTGGGGCCACTGTGCTGAGAAACACAAGAAAACATCAGGTTTTGAATATAGGCTACTTTATTACAAATTAGATCCATTTAGGTTATGAAAGTAAACAACAGTAACAGTATATATAAAGGAATACCAGAATGTGTGTGTATACATAAGACAAAATGGGCATAAAACGTAATTGTGTCCTGAGAATGGTGTGTGTATGTCTGCGTAAACATAAATGCAGAGTGCTCATTCATGTGGAATCATTTAATGACAGGGTGGGAGGAGCAGAGCAAGAAGTGAACATCATAATGAATAGTAAATGAAAATGCAGAGAAGTAGGTATGGGAAAGTGTCTGTGTTTTGTTTTGGGGGGTTTCGGAGGAGAATGGCAGTAGTTTGCCCAAGCGAGTTCCACAAAAACAAGTAAACCAATGTTCTCCCCAGCACTGTATGATATAGGGGAATATATAAACTACATGAACGGGTGAGCTGATAGTTGAGGCATCACAGTGTTATACATGCTACTACACCCCTGAGAAGAAAAACACACATTATCAGACAATTAAAGAGGAAAGACTTGGATAACCTCAAACAAGACATGAGTTCTTTTTTTCCACCTGAAGGAACAAAAGTCTAGGAATGAGATCTGAAATTCGGATAATAAATCATAAAGTATTCAAATACTGATTCAGGAACAGTTTTACTCAGAGAAGCCCTGAAAAGCCATTGCGGGGCATGGAAACACTGAGCTCAGATCAGTACTGTTACACTGAGATCTTAATGCAGGTCAGGATTCTATTTCCTGTTTTGGCTTCTGGTCTGAAATTCTTTTCACAAACAGATCAAAGTCTATGGAAAAGAAAACATTTTACCGGATTCTTTTGTTGTATCCCTACATTTCCTTTTGGCCATCTGTCTGAGCTCCTTAACAAAGAACGACCACTTGTACATGCAACCTTGCACACTTGTGATGTCTTACACACACACAAAGTCCACTTCCATCCTTATATCCAATTTAAAAAAGAAAAATAGGCTTTTCATGCAACACGTACAACAAATGAAACCAAACAAGACTTATAAATAATTAATTAGGCCATAGAAAACATTTGTAACCACCCCGTGTATGTGTTTGAACAGAGAAGTTTCTTAGGAATAGCTGGGCCGGAGGGCAGCAAGTGTTTTGGCAGAATGCATTGTTGGCAGTGAGGGCTTCAGACCAGGGGACAAGAGTTACATCAGAGGAGAAAGAGGCAAAACCACAGCGTTTCAGTCTATGGAAATGTCAATGACATGGTTCAGGATTCAGAGTCCTGCAGAGAACAGAATTTAATTCAATTAGATGTTAATATAGCCAGTAATCTCATGAACTATATGACATACAAAAAAAATCACCCTAATAATCAGTATGTTGTCTGGCTGTCCAAAAAGGATGTTTAATTTTTTTTTTACTGGACAGTGAATTGATTTAAAGACAGGTGGAAGTGTGTTTGTACCTTTACAGAGGGCACACGAAGGAATGAGAACACTGTGTTCGTCTCTTTAGACTGGAAAAAATCTTCATAATCCTGAAAAATAATCCAAAGATAATAGAGTTGGGTTTAAAGCACTGTTTGTCTTTAAAATTGGATATCTGCAAAACATCAAACTAAACCTACTAATTCAGATTATATAAACTATGGCATTAAACATCCATTAACATGATCTTAATGTTTTTTTTAATATATTCCTTTTAAAATAAATAACAATAGCTCTAAACGTAAAACTTATTAGAAGTGTCAAATGTGTCTTGCCCTCTACTTGACAGTTAATCACTGTGACATGTTGTGAAGGTTCTGATTGGCTAAAGAGGTGATGGGGGCGGGGTCTGAGAGTAATCAGGATTATTGTGAGATTAGATCATTTGGGCACTCAGCGAAATCCAGCCATTACTGTCATGAGTCATTCACAAAATATACAAACCTTACCTTAACTCAAGCGTTGAGTGATGAATCATTTCTAATTTAAGATTCAATCTCATAAACATCTTTCTGATACTTCAGCCATGTATGGCAAGAGAGTCACGGTGACATATTACACTACAAATCGAATTAATAAATAGAGTAAAGTGTGTTTTGCCTGCAAAATCTGTCCTTTGTAACAATTAGTACCCTTTTTTCACTACCTTATATAAGACGTCTCATGCTTTAATGTGATTGGCTAGTGAAAACACAATAAATACTACACTTGAATGTAACTGGCTGAAAAAAGAGAGCAGTGCTGCACGGTTTAAACCATGGATTTTTGTTTACTCGTATTGATTTTTAATAAACATCCAAACAAACCAACCCAATGTGCTCATTGGCCAGACTGAGAGCTTATCATTGATAGAAATTACTTTAGCAAATCCCTGAGACATTTATAAGCCAATTAATATCATATTAATTAAGGTCTGTAGTATATTGATGAAGATATGAGGCGGACTCACGCCACAGTAGTCATCTCCATTGAAGATCTGAGGGGGGAGAGGATTGCCCTCTTTAGGTCGTTTCTCCTCAGGAATGTTCCGGTACATCCAGAACCTCTGATCTTCCAGCATAGTGATGTCAACCTCCTCAAAGCTGATCCGGTTGGCCTCCAAAAATCCCACGATGGCTTGCTGGTGTTTTTTCACCTGAGGAAACACACAGTGAAGTTCTTCGGTCAATGATGATCTGAGGTAGCTCTGTCATTAAGATAATTAGGGCTACTCACAAATTAGAACTTGAGTATGAGCATGTGTGAGTATTTGTGCATTTGCATGAATATTAATTTGAGTAATTATTTATTCAAAATTGGGAAATGGTGTAAATTTGCGAGTTACTATAATGCTTAACTTATCACATTATTTGACACATTTAAGTCTGGTTGTGTGTCATGCAAAATACATTTTAATAAAGTCAAATTTAAATGTGATATTATTTCTTTAATTTATATATTTGACTATTAGCCATTTAGCATTTTTATATTCATCACCAATAAATTGGTCTATTAATGACCATTTTTGGACTGATCATCCTCATACTTGTCAGTTTACACTTACAGTATAGTTATACATTTCCGTGCTCATTTGTCTATTCTAAAAAGACACACATGGACATTCCCATTAGCCAGATGTAGGAGGAGAGAGTATTGATCCACAAAGAGGGATTCATTTGAAAGTAAATGGAAAACAGACTGCTGAAATGTACACACCTTGAAAATATTTTCCATAAAACATTTAAAGCGAATCAAATCACAGAAAACAATGAAAGACTTTGTGTGTGTCATTGTGCTTGTTGTGAGTGTCCTTTTGTGTGATTTAATTATATATATATATATGAAGAGTTCAGATGCAAAAGCCTCTAAGTGCCATTTGAAATTTTGTTCTAGAATGACCATTTTGATCAAGCTTGTGTATTTAAGTTCAGTAATTTCACTTAAATGACAATTAATAGGTAATCTTCATTGCCATTTAAGTGAAATTACTGAACTTAAATATATACAAGCTTGATAAAAATGATAATTTTAGAAGAAAATTTCAAATGGCATTTAGAGGCTTTTGCATCTGAACTCTTCATATATATATATATATATATATATATTTATTCAGTAACCGATTTTCATTGCTCACTAGGCATATTTTCAATCTGAGCACCTAACTATATGGGAGGCCTAATTTCAACAGCTGTATGAGAGGGAGTGACTTACAAAAACACACACATACACACCATAGTTTGGCAGTATCAAAGTGTGCAGTCCAGAGAGAGACTTTTTGGATGTATTCTCATTGTGGAGGAGGACAGATGGAGTACAAAAAGTTCCCTGCCTTACCTCGCCTTGCCTTCCCTATCTTTGTCTCTTTCTCTGCTGACTTTGCAGGCCGTGTTGCTGGGCACCACATGCAGAGCTGTTTAGATTCATTTTGTTGCTAAACATACACCTCTGCACATAGAAATCACAAAATTATGCATTGATAAAGCGAATCAAAAATCTCTCGCACATACACTGTTTGTTATCATAATCAACTTAGAAAATTTATGTGGTTCAGATAACATAATATTTTGAGTTTCTGATTATTAAATCGATCTCCTTTGTTGAATTAACTCAATTTTTCAATAAGGCAACCAGGTTACTTCATATTTTTAAGTTAAGCCAATAATATTTTTTCAGTGTACACATAAAGAAAAATAAAGAATCTCTCTATTAAGCCCTATCTGCTTTTTTAAAATAAACTCTTTACAACTCTCCAGCCCTGATAAACAGAGACAATAGCAGCTCTAGCCTTGTGTCAACCCAGCACAGTCACACAATGCAGCTATTGATTTATCCACAAAACAAAAGACTGAAGACATAGACATTTGCTGTCCATATGATTTATTTTAAGAACTCCACTTCTCTTTCTGCCACAACCTGTTAATAGAAAATCATATATATATATATATATATATATACAGTATATATATATATATATATATATATATATATATATATATATCAATGAGCTGAATGCAATCTTACCACTCAGATTTTCTTAACACACTTACTGAGCCTATATCACTGTCGAATCCATCAAACCACTAAGCTTAGCTGACTGAAATTCACTCAGTGAGTGCTCTAAGTATGCTTCGCATGCATATGCAAACTGCAATGGTTGGAGGTGGAGGATTGTAACGAGTGGAAAAGGTTAGTCAGGGTTATGACCTTTATAATCCCCTTCTGACTAAAGCTTATGAGAGCTAATGTGAATCAGGGTGTGTGTATGTGTTGCTAGACGTGAAAAAAGTACTTCTCAAAATTTGCTGTCATTTAAACTGTGCAGAACGGAAATCCTCTTTAGCTACAGATTGGTTTCATCAACCATCACTTACTTCACACAAACATCCTTTTGACACAAAACATATGTTATGTAACAAACACAAGTAATCTTAGTGAACAAACACACACACACATCAGTATTTCACTTTTCTTTTCTAATCTTGATCTCATTTTGTTTGCCTTCTACAGAAGAGAGAGAGTGTGAAAGAGATGTTTGCCTATATGAGAGCAGAGTGTGCTGAGAACATGGAGACTTAAAAATAGCTCTTTTTGGGTAAACAATCCAGATCTTGTAGAAATAAGGAGATAGCGGAAATCAGTGCATAACTCATTTAGGCTATTACCTCATTCTGGCACTATTAGGTTACAGTGTTGACAGTACTAGCTTATCTGTCTGCGCCACGGACATCCAAAAACACACGCTTCATCTCCATATCAGAGCTGTCAAATACACAGTGAGTCATTATACAAACATCATTTGATAAACATCAAACAGCAAATGAATGACAGGAAAAGACGAATAAAATTGCACATCCTTCCTCCCAATCTCTGTTCAGAGACTGCGATCTCCTCATTTAAAGAACTAAAAATCAATGTCACTGGATCAAGCAGCTAAAAGGCTGACATTTAATCCCTACACTGCTGAATGAATCAGGATATTCCTCATGCTTTCCCTGCAGGCTGCACAACAGAGCGATTAAAACCGAGCTGATCTCCACGCCATGTGATTGTGGCTTTGGAGTTGGCAGTGGGTTGGTTTTTTACTGTAAACATGAACTTTGTCCAATCTCTCCTTTATGACTGCATGGTTTCAGTCAGTGTGCCGAGGTGGACAATAGCTTTGGATTATCTCCAAAAAACATAAACCACCTCTTATAACCATTAGATAGATTGAAAAACAATTGAAATCGTTGCTAAACATATAGATCGGAATTGAGCTTGACACTGATTATGTAATGAAATCCATTTCAGATTCATAGTAGCTTAAGTAATGTCTATCCAGAATGTTCAGCACTGTGTGGCTTGAAAACAGGCACAACTAGCTTTCAGTTATAAAGTGGACTTTAATGGTGTGCACTTGACAATAATAAAATACAAAAATGTACCAAAGTGTAACACCATGTTTTAAGAGAACCATGTTATGCACGTGAATAACTACGTTCCATGGTTTATGTAATTACTGTGGTAATGCCATTTGACTTAACTACTGTGCAGGTGTCACCTGCAAGAGAGGGTGGGTTTCCCATGATGGGTTAAGTTCATAAAGTCAGCGGGGCTTACTTGAAAATTAACATAAAAAATATATTGTTGTTGTTGACATGCATATATAACTCATGTGCACACAAAAACCGTAATGAGTGCCATAAATGTATCACAGCAGCAAAGTTATTCATTTAAATTTGTAATATATTCTTACAACTGTCATGCATTATCTATTTTTAATAATTATTATATGGAATAGATTAGAAAAACTGATCGCAGAATAAAAATTAACGGTTGTTTGACATTATTCCTAGCAGCCAGTTTTACAACCTGCAACTCTTAAATGCGCGATGTAGCCTAAACATGTTACTCACCGCGACAGACCCGGACGAAGAGGCGATATACACTCTGATGACCATCCTAATCCTCACTTGCCCTCTCGAAAAAGAATGAAGGCTGGTTAATGTTCTCTCGTTCTATAGACTTTGGATCTGCGGTTGCGTCAACTTCACCCTTTGAAATTAAAGTGTGCGCGCGCGCCCAGTGTGTTATAATAAAGCCGCTCGCGCTCCATCAGTGCACTTCACTCCACCGTCGAGAGCGCAGCGCTCAGCTCCAGCCAGCTCAACAAGGGAATCATGGGAAATGTAGTTTTAATCTCCTAAAAAAAGACGAAACCTATCCTTGTTATATAAATATAAACACTTATTTAAATATTATCCTTATTTAAATATAAACACATTTTAACTAAAATAATATTTAGTATTATATACTATATATAATTTTTAATGTTCAGTTATTAATGCCAGTCTGGCTCATGAGTCGCGGCTTGCTTTATTGTATGTTTTTCTGATTTTTTTTTCTTTTAATAATACTATCGAGTCCGACGCCTGACGCCTGTTTGTCTGTCAGTGTAATATCAGCCGACTCAACAAGTGGTAACGGAGTGACAAGAGGCGCGCACGTTGCCATGGAGAGGCGTCACTATGACACCAGTCCAGTAGCAGAAGGCGAGGCGTGGATTCAGAGATTTCACCGACATCAACTCCTCCAGTAAAGCACACATTCTTCTTCAAATGCCACAATCTCCGCCATAATCGACCTCAGATGACGCTTGGTTAAATGATAGACGACCAAACATCCGCATTCGCTCTCTCTTTACCGTATCGCGTGAGGTTTTGCTAATCGTTTCTGTCGTCTCTCCAGTTTTAGAGTGTTGTGTGTTGTCCTAGTTGCACGATATAATCCAGCTAGCTCGTCATGTGGCTGGCTAGCGAGTTTGCGAGCCGTTAATCGAGCCATGTTATGAAGAAACTGACTGAAGAACAAGAAACTGGTGAGTACTTTTGAGATAATTTCACGCTCGTTCTTGCAGTGTAACAGAGCCTACGTTATGTTACGTTCAGCGTTTGATATTCTTTCTTATTACTCGGAAAACACTAGAAACACCAGCAGCGTCTTCCTTGATACAATGATACAATGGTATTAAGATGCAGTCACACATTGTTTTGTTTTAAATAAAGACATGTTGACCGACGGACTGTTATTTATGGACACCTGTAGTTGGACTAACCTGACTTATTTCCCGAGTTCTGAAATCATAAAGCTCTTTTGTTATGATATTTTTGTCAACAGTGCCTATAATATCTCCATTATTGTAAGTTCATCTCAATTGAATGCTATATGTTTTGAACTATAGCCTATATATTTTTATATAATCACTTTATGTTATTTTTTACTCAAGTTTGAGTCAATTTTATAAGAATGTCAACCAAACTGATTGACATTTGTTGTTGTGATGGTTCTAAGGCCATTTAAAGTCAAACTGGCCTGTCATGTGCAGGTGGTTTCAGTGCTTGATGCCAATTCATCACATGATTTCAGTTAAAAAGGGTTTTAACATTAGACTGAGTCAATGTATGAATGAGTTGTGTTTAAAACACTCTCTGCTTGTGTGCTATTGTATCAGTTTTGCATGTGCATAATTAAAAAAAAAAGTCAATAATAGGTCTGTGGCAGAATTGAACACAAAATGATCTCAATGAAGCTATAATTAAAATTTGTTAGTAGCAAATATTCCTGATATATTTGGTGAATGAATTCAAGATTTCCTTTATACAGATTTTTTGATGTTAACTCAACTTTTAATATGTAATATCAACTTTAAAGAATGTATATACATAATTTAAAAACTAAGATTTTTGGACATCTCTTAATGGATGCCATAGAAACATTTGACCAAAATAGAGGGAGGTGAAAGGTGAGGCAGTCATTGAATGTGTTTAGCATGCCATTAAGGAGTGAATGATATTATTGGCCGCTTACAAAGGGCAGACTCAATCTCCATGGTGACCGAGACCAGAGAGGATATCAGGATTCTGCAGGTTCAGGGACAGAAAAAGGAGCACTTGTCAGTAGCCTTACAAAAGGGTCATCAATCTTGCTTATTTTATGACGATACACCACAGATCTGCTGTAGCTCATTTTTGTCTTGTAACCAGCTCTATTGACTCTTTGTTCTTAGTGACACTTGTTGATTTCTTATTTGTACACAATTTGAGACCACCATCAACTATTACACATCATCACAACACAATTTATGCCATGATTTGGTAAGAAAGTGTCTGGCAACCACATATCTAAAGCCACATATCTAAGTGCCTTGGTGTTTGAGATTTGCTCGTTCATGCCTAAAGTAATGTACCAAATTTTATGGTTAAATACATCATATCTGTTAGTGTCTTGGCTTTCCTGGCTGGACATTGTATCTCTAACCACATTACTAGTTGAGAATTAATAACACGTTACTGTCGTGAATGAGCAACAAATGTGACGTCTTGATTCAATCTTGATGAAGCCTCTCAGACAGCTTGAGTGTTTAGTGTCTGGATTTATGTCACGATTCGCTCAAGGCTGATTTGCATACAAAACCTGATTTGCAAACATTCCGTGCCTTTTTTGATTTGTGTGTTTGAAGGGATGTGTGCGGTTTATTAATTGTGAGTGAAGCGCATATCCAGTTCAGTCTCAGTCTGATGTTGTCTTGATCATTGTGAACTGTATTGCAGGGGAAGACATGGACTTGCATGCAGAAAATCAGGAATCGGAGCACAGCCGATTGTCTCACCGAAGTGATGCAAAGATCGTGGAGTCTCCTCAACATTCTGGGAAACAAGAGAAAAACTGGAAAGACACTGGGAGCTCGGCTGAGGATCATGCACGAACCAGAAAACAAGAGCCGACTGGAGACCCAGACCGCGATCGGTGTTCGGATGGAGATCGCAGCAGTGGCTCTTTCTACTCGGATGATTATGAAAACATCTCGCGCTCGGATCGGTCGCTCTCGTCAGGCTCTCCATCTCCAGACAGAAAAGGGAGATCTAAGAGAGTGTCCAGCAGCCCCTTAAATCGAGCAGGTATACACACCCACATAATAGGCAAACACATCCAGTGGAGTCCAAAAGTCTGAAATCCCCCCCAAAAAATCATAATATACTATTTTCAATTTACTGATCAAATAAGTAACTGACCATGTACATACTAAAAGTATATCATAATTAAAATATAAAAATATAAATAAAATGTACTTTGTGCATAAAGTCACATGTTTCATTGAAGCATAAGATCATTGAATTTATCCCAAATCATGTTTGGATAATGATTACTGGCAAGGTTTCGGACTTGTGGAGTTCATTTAACTAAAGTACTGTTTATGCAAAAGCATGTTTACCTCTCCTTAGCACTCACTTTATTAAAAGCCAGCAACATAATGAAACAAATTCATCAGCAATCCAGAAGGTCAAGCACATTAAATTAGTCTGAGGTGTCCTCTTATCCACTAGTTACAGGTGTAACGTAATTAACATGATGATCAAGGCCATCAGCATCCAAATCTTGATTGCGCTTGGGGAAAATGATTATTTATTTATTTGTATTTTTTTCAGTTAATTTTCTTGATTGCTCTGATTGCTGTGAATCATCCTGATCTTATTTATGGGCAGCAGTGTGATATTCTCATGTCATGTCTTAAAAATTAACGCTTTCTCACAAAACCTGTCGAGGACATGGCCAGGTCATAATTAACTCTGAAAACAAAAATAAATAATAATTATTAATAATAGTTCTAATATATAATAATAGTTCTAATATTCTAATAATTCTATTTTATAGTATATTTTGCTATGATGTCTATAAACAAATTCAAAATAATAACAAATATATATATATATATATATATATTAATTTATGAAAATATAATGTATTACAGTAATGAAAATCATGGAGAAGTATAATCACAAAAATATGTCTAGTAACAAATCCAAATGACTGTGCTTCATTGTCATAAAAATGTCATGTTGCAAAATATTCTAAATGGTCCTATAAGATGTTTCAGTTTCTTTATGCTAAATGTAATGTAATGTGGATTTTTTATGGAATTTAACCTGGATATTAGGTTAGGGTTAAGGCAACAGACTAAAGCATAATTTAGGAAATAACTGTTGTGTCCTGCAGTACCATCAACAACCAGCAGATTGCACAAGAGATATTAGCACCAAGCATCATTTGAATAGAAAATTACTTTATTTGTACTATCAATGCCAATATATTATTAGGAATGTTGGGTTGTACACTACCATTCAAAAGTATGTGAACATTAAGTTTACTTTTATTCAGCAAGGTTTCATTAAAATAATCCAAAGTCTTAAATAATAAAGTTTTTAAATAAATACTGTTCTTTTGACCTTTTTATTCATCAGAGTCCTGAAAAAATTTATCATGCTTTCCACAAAAATATTAAGTAGCACAAACCCTTTTCAACATTGTTACTTTGCACTTTGCAACATTGCAGCAAATCAGCAGAGTAAAATGATTTCTAAAGGTCAAAAATACAGTACAATATATTTAATATTTTTATATATATATTTTGTTGTTTTTATGTATCTATTCAGTTGTATGCTAATAACTGCACATATTTGTGTGTGTTTAGGCCTTATTTACTTTATTCTTATATTTATTATTCTTTTCAGGTGTGCATAAAGGTGTGTCACGCCGTCTCCCACCCCATCGTCCTCAGCAGCAATCAGGAGGTATCCGATCACAATGTTTGAGTAAAGACGCTCCATCCAAAGAAGTGGACCCCGTCACCAAGCGCATGCTTTCTGCACGTCTGCTAAAGATCAACGAGTTGAAGAACGCATTGTCTGAGCTGAGGCTGCATGCAGACAAGCTGCAGCGCGAGAACCGTTTACTGAGACAGCTACAGCTGCGGCAAGAGAAAGCTCTGCATCGCTACGATGACACCGAGAGCGAGATCTCGCAGCTGCTGTCTCGTCACAACAATGAGACTCACGTGCTCCGCGAGAGGCTGCGACGCAGTCAGGAGAACCAGCGCACAGCCGAACGCAGCCTCAGGGAAACAGACGTCCAGCTACAGCGCTGTCGCAGCCAGCTTCAGAAACTGCAGCAACTTGCAGATGACCAGAATCTAGGAGAGAGGGAGGAACTGTCACGAAAACTGATATACGCTCAAGGCAAATTGCAAGAAAGTGAACACAGAGTAAAGGTAAAAAGAAAAATAATTACAAGAAAGCAGCATTGCAGGGCTCAGCTATAAGGATGGCTGGCTGTTCTGGGGCAAACTTTCACTAGCGCTATATCTTACATGTTTTGATCATGTAAATGCATTTGTATTATAATAAATATATTATAAAAATTATAAATTAATTTTTTACATTCATATAATGCTAACTGATTTTTACTAATTCTCTTTGTAAAGAAAACTTTGACAAAAATGTATAAGAAAATGTTTTTTTATATTTCTGTAATGAATAATAATAAATAATATCTTTTATATGATATCATTATTTTAATAGTTGTATAATATTAAAATAAATAAAAAATAATTTTCAAATGTATAATTAAAAAATGTAAATATAAAATTGGCCGTTTTTGTGAATTGAAATTTATAAATATATAAATATTAATTATGACAATGATCAAGATTGAATATTGCCCTGGTTTCTTATTTTTCTAAAAAATAAATTCCTTTTAAGAGTTATGACTGTAATGGCTTCATCCTGTAAGGATCACACTGTCAGTTTGTGTTAATGTCTATGTTTGTGTGTGTAATGTATCATCAGGAATTGGAGAAGAACATGGAGCTGAGTAGTGGGAGCTTTCAAAGGCAGCTAGCTAATGAGAGGAGGAGAACTCACGATGCACAACAGGAAGTTAAAGCCCTACAGGAGCAAGTGGAGAACCTTTGCACTAAACTAAAGGTACCAAATATTGTACTTAGAACACCCAAAAGCTGTTTCTAGCGTTAGATGTTTATTAATTTAATCGCAAACCCCATCACACCATGTTCATTTTACATCTTATTTCAGGAGAAAGAAAAGGAGCTGGATACTCGTAACATCTACGCTAACAGGATGCTTAAAACTTCTTCCAGAAAAGAAGCAGAGAATGGCAGCAAACGGAAAGGTAGATCAGGCTCATCTAAGTCTAATTACACAACTGTACTATTCACCTTCCTCCCAGGACACATTCAGTCCATACCTACTACTAGCAGACAAGTAATGACTCCATAACAAACATATTCCTATGGCGATTGCTGTATATTCCCATGTGTTTCACCTTTGTTTTACAGTGGTTCTATTGATTAGATATGAGAGTGTTTGAAGAGATGTTGTAAGGACTGAAGGGCCTTGAATGGAATAGTTTTATAAATAAAAAAATGTATGTGTTTGTGCCAGTAAGTAATCTGTGTATTTTGTAACATATTTGTGTTGAAGGCTCCAATACAACCAGCACTAAAGGAGTACAGACAGAAGACAGAACGTCCTCATTGGACTTCCCATCGCCACCTCCAGATCTTACCAACGGAATCCCACCTGACAACCAGGCCGATGACTACCTCTCCCTGAAGGCATGTACAGCCTGCTTGATAAAGAATTTTTTGTATTTTGTTTTGTTGAAGCCAATTTATTTATAAAACATAAGAGACCTCTAGTTCATAAAATTGTATTTACCGTCACAGAGTTTCAGTTTATTGTATAGCATTAATTACCTCAGCGTTCACCATAGCTATCTAGTGAGCTGCCTTGTTGTCTATTGCAAATATAGGTAGCATCCAAATCGTCATTGAACTGTTTTATAACGTTCTACTTAGGAAGCAACTCACAAATAGCACTCCATTCAGATTTTGACATTAAAGGGATAGTTCACCCAAAAAGGAAAATTCTGTCATCATTTACTCACCCTCAAGTTGTTTCAAACCTGTATGAATTGCTTGCTTCTGCTGAAAACAAAAGAATATATTTCAAAGAAAATGGGCATCCAAACAGTTGATGGGCCCCATTGACTTCCAGGTACGACATTCTTCAAAATATCTTCTTTTGTGTTCAACAGAAGAAAGAGATTCATTCAAAATTGGAACAACTTGAGTAAATCATGACAGAATTAAAATTTTTGGGTGAACTATCCCTTTAAAATGTTGCTAAACTAATAATGTGATGCTCTAATAAGTATGAAAATACATCATACACAGATGTTGGATAAAATAATAAAAAACATTTAAATTATTAAAATTGTAATTAGTAAAAAAATACCTTTATATTATTTCATCATTACTAAATATTAAATAAATATTTAAATAATAATTAAATATGTTCAAATGTAATGTTTATTATTGACACATCTGTCTTTGTCTGCAATCTTGGATTTTTTTTAACTGAAATAACTTTTTCGCACATTGTAAGATCATCTGATGCCTTAAAAGCGGCCTCTGTAGAACATAAATGCTGCATATTGAGCTAGAAACTTCAACACATTATAAAATGTGTCTAAAATTGTATTCCTCATGAGGAAAATCTATCATGGTTCTCTTTTATTTGATACTCTTCACAGTTATTTTGTTGATGTTTGATTTAGCTAGTGTTTAATTTACACCTTTCTTTTCTCTCTTTCTCATTCTGTTTTATCAATCTATTTGTTAGCTTACATACATGTGAATTTCCTTGTTAATTAATCTTTGAAGTCATTTTTAATGATTGACTTTCAGGATCAAACGCCTGCTGTGAACCACAGAGTAAAAAAGGTTGGCCTTATAAGTCTGTCCTTCTGTTTACCAGCATGCAGCACACAGTAGAATAGTAGTTCGTATGCTGGCTCCCAAAGCAAATCTTCATTCTTTAATTGAGCATTGCATTGCTGCATGAAGTAACCTCTTAACCTCTGCCAAATAGTCTATCAACAGAAGAACACTAGTAACCTGGCTGATTAGTTTTACAGCTTGAGTGTCAATGATTCTTAGATCATTCTGAATTAAAAATGCCAAGAATATTAAGAACATCTCAGCTCTGAGACAATATTTATTGTTTTAAGTTCAGTATGCTAGAGATGTTTTCACGTTTAAATTCTGTTATCATTTACTCACCTTTGTGTCATTTAAAATGCATTTTTTTCTTTTGTGGAACTTCTCTCTTACACTTAAATTAAATTGTGATCAGGAGTGGTCAAGCTCTAAAAATGACAAAAAATAACACCATAATAGCACCATTCTCCACAATAACTGCCGTTAATGTATATTCAAATATTGTGTTAGGTTTGACGTTAGTGATGCCATATGTTATTGGTTCCTGTGTGTCTTTTAACTGATTGAGAAAGGTCAACTGAATGCCACATTTAACCACCATGAGGGTGAGAAAACGCTGACAATTTTAATTTTGGGCAGACTATCCCTTTTTAACACATGCATAACATTTCAGTGAGCAAGCCTTACAGAAATTATGAGCTTTGTTTTTTTACTCTCTTCTGGTCCTTTTCCCCCCCTACCATACATCAGCAGGATCAACAAGAAAAAGAGCAGAGACTAAAAGAAGCAAAGGAATGGAAGATACAACAGCTTTGGAAAGAAAGGGAGAATGAAAGAGGCATGGAATCTGTGATGGAACAGACAAGGGAGAAGGAGAGAGAAAAAGACACTCTGCATGACAGAGAAAGAGAAACGGAGATGCTGAAAGTCAAGGAGAAGCAAAGACTAGATCAACAACCCAGCTCAAATGAGAAGCACTTAAAGGGAAGCAGAGGTAGGAATGTAACCAGTCATAGATCCCATATTTTCTCAGTTAAAGACATGCATGCATTCTATTTATTTAACTAAAGTTTTCAATAATGTACACAATTTGAATTGTAAAATTGTTACAACTATTTTCTTATATATATATTTTAACCCTTGTGCATCCATATAGACATTTTTGTCTTTTTTTTTAAAGTTTAAGTTTTGTTTTGATCACTTTGCCTGTGTTGATGATTATGGCACAGGTGTATTTTATTATTGGAATATTACCATTTCACCTCCATTTCCTTCACAAAAAAAAATCGCAAAAAATACTCCCTCTCAGTGCCTTTTGGACAAAAATGTCCCCATTGAAAGCCATTAAAACTGCATATTATAGAGCCAATTGGGTCAATTATGCAACGATAATTCTGTGGGTGTGTTGGTATGGATGTCACAGTGTGGTTGGTATGTGTGTTATAAAAAAATGTGTGTGTGTGTGTGTGTGTTTGTAATATTGAGAGAGAACAACTCAACTGCAAATAACAAATCCAATCACTGTGTGCACCAGTGGAGTTTTGCTGGCATCCAATGGGGAAAATTTCTAATTTCATGAGAAAATCTCATTTCATGAGATATGAAAGATATGAGAGATATTTCTTTGATTTTCTATCCGTTTTAGAGTTCAACTATTTTCATAAAACATATATGTTCATAAATAATTTTTATAAACTTAAACCTATATAACTTTTTGGGGGATTTGCTTATTAATTTTTTTTATTTTGTACTTCAACAAAAATCTGCCAAGGGTCTTCTTTAAAATGAGACCAAACTTAAAGGGTTTGTTCACCCAAAAATGAAAGTTCTGTCAGTAATTACTTTCCCTCATGTTGTTCCAACCCCGAAAGACTTTCGTTCATCTTCGTAACAAAAATTAAGATATTTTTGATGAAATCTGAGAGCTGGATCACTCCCCCTTAGGCTTCTTAAGGAATCGAAACTGGCCGGCCCAAAAGTTATGAAAGACATAAGCAGCCTATGGAGGAGTGATCAAGCTCTCAGATTTGATAAAAAAAAAATATCGAAAGTCTTACAGGTTTGGAACAACATGACGGTGAATTTTTATTTTTTAGGTGAACTAACCCTTTAAGTCAATGCTCCCAAGCTTCAAATTTATACGTTTTTTGACAGTCATTTTTGTCCTGTGTAATGTGTAATTTTTTTTTCATTTATGGACAAGGGTTAAACCATGATGCAATTTTCAGGATTCTTTGATTAATAGAAAGGTCAAAAGAATAGCATATTTAAAATGTATTTTTATAACAATGTGAAAGTCTGTAGTCAGTTTTAAACTATTTATTGGATCTTTTCTGAATATGATTTTTAGGTAAAGTGTAATTGTTGAAATGCATGTTTGCAACTTTTAAGCCATTAATCGTTCCGTTTCTTATAAAATAGGCCTGGGCAGAGAGGAAGAAGATTGGAGGAATGGCCTGTCTATATCTCCAAAGGAGGAAGAGAACAGAAGGCAGCGTGAACTGGAAGAGTTGCAACATAAAGCGAGAAATCGGGAGATCCAGGCCAGTGAAGAAGAGTGTGCGGAAGAGGAACGCCAGCGCAAAGAGCAGCTATTGCTTAAGATGCATGAGATCGACATGCAGACTCAGGGTCAAGACTCAGACTTCTTCTCTGATGACACGGGAAGTGTCCGCTCTCCTCTACGGTTATCAGAGAAACGTAACCACAACGGTATTTTTAAAAGCACAGAGCCAGAGGAGAACACAAACACATTTGGGAGTGGGAGAAGAGGAGGTGGTCACAGAGCACAAGGACCTATTGCAGATCTTGATCTTTCTTTTGGCAGCTATGCCCCTTCTTTTGGTAAATCTGCCCCCCGTACAGGTTTGGGCACACGAAACACAAATCAGTCTCCTCGAGAAGCAGATGAAGGGCTTGATCTTAGTGGCGTGGTCAAAGAAAGGAAGTCAAACCTCATGCAGCAGCTTTTTGGGGCCACAGCCACTCCACCTCCTTCAGATCCATCCAGCAAGATGGAGATTCTAACCCCCCCTCTAACAACCCAGTTCCCATCAGGGCCGGTGAATGGACGGAGGAGGGACTCAGACACACCAAATGGACTAAACATCAGTTCTCTCCCCAACAATAGAAGCACTCTACAAGTCTCTGAGAGCCGACCCACAGTCAGGGCCATTACATCATTTGATGATGACATAGAGGAACTCGCACTCTGAATAGTGCACTTTTATAGTCAATATGAAGGAATCGGTTTCTTGAAAGCAGAAGGAGAAAATCCAAAACACCTCTGATATTTGGTTTTGTGCTCCCTTATGAAGTAATCTCTGATTAAACAACGCTTCGTTTGCCAACATGCCTCCTTTTTCAACACTTCCGGCAAAATCATAGAGGGAAGACTTTCTTAGTTACACTATTTTCATGGTTAGGTACACAAAGGGACCTAAATTAACACTCGCTTTGCAACAAATGTGGAAAGAAAACCCTCGCCTGTTGGCCGGTAACTCTTTTTAGGAACCACAGCGTAATAGATGGTTAAAGTCAAACTGTTAGAAAGAATGATAATCTGCCCCTCGCTGATGTAATTAGTGTGAGTGATTCAAATCAAGAACATACAACCTGTCTTGGAGGGACAACATCCGTTGTGACTTGCACTTTTTCTAAAAACGACTTCTACCTTAAATTTAGGTTTTTAGGCATTTTTATTCACCACTTATGTGGAATATATCTAATTTTAAGCCAACAAAACAAAAATATGATCAGCAAGGTCACAATGTGTTACAATGGATAACAAATATATCAGGGATGTTGGTTAATAAAAATAATTCATGAAACAGTTTCATATCGGAAAAGTAATATTTATGGATGATAAATCCTCACAATGCACCATTGTTGCATATGGGAGACCAGGCCATTTTTGGACTCTACCTCTGTGTGTTGTTATTATTGCTGAGAAACTCCCTTGCATACCACATGGAAAGTAGCTATAGTTAATGTTGTATTCAGATTTTCTTACTAAACAAGAACACGATAAGTAGAGATAGAGGGTGGGTGCATTAGCCGATAGTCTTGTGCGAGATTCAGTTTACTGTACGTGTTTGAAAGGAAAAGGCCCTGCACTTTCAGTACTGATATGACTGTGACAGAGCGTTGTCCTCAGATAGCCACGCTATGGCTTGGCTGACTCAGGTCTGGGCTGTACCTTCTCTGAACCAGTCCTCCCACACGGCACTTTTTAGTCTCTTCACCTCACTTTAGATAAATGTTCATGTCTATTATGTGAAAAATGAGAGTGTCTGGTTTATACGGTATAATTAAGTTGAGCCAAATAATCAAATGATCTCTATACAGAGCACCCTAAAAACAGGACAATTAAATATCTGAATTTCAGTGCATTAGATAACAAAATATCGAGCCAACTGACATTTTCTCTGACCTAACTAACTGGTCCCAATGTAAACAATTAAAAATGTTAAGGCTTTTTCTTGAAAACTGTACTTTTGCTACCAAGTTAAATGTAATTTGGCTTGATATTTTGATATGTGATATTTCTATGTGTAGTATAAGCAAATATTTTTTGAGGAGGCCACTGTATGTTTTTGTTATTGTGTGCACAGTATGATCCTTGTTACTTTAACCATTTCATAACTAGAAAACTCTGACATAATTTTACTTTCACTACAATGTGCAGTGACTTTATTTGCCTGCTTACACATAATGAGATGTTTTATTTTTTTTATATACGAATGAGTGTTTCGTAAAGCCCAGGCTTATCAATATAAAACCACTCCTGGGTCATTATCTGTGAGATTTTGTCAGGTGGTTGTTTAAAAAAAATGTGTGTAATTAGAAGATATTTTTTATTAGCTCTATAAAACAATTGTAGTGATTTGGTTCTTATTTATAAAGCATTTCAGGGTTCATTTCAATCTCAAGTACTGATAAATCTGTTGTGAAATACTAGAAATAATGTGCTTGATACGGTTGCTTATTTTGAATTTTTAATAAGGGACATCACACAAATGTATAAGTGGACCGATATGAAACAAACACAAATCAAATATTTAACTATGTTTTAATTACAAAAGATGCTTTCACTATTTAACAACAAAATCTGGCACCCACCTGAACACATCAATCAGGTTGAAACCATTTAAAAATGAGTTTTGGTGTTCTGTCACAATTCTCACTGCAACTCGACTGAGATGATTGACGTTTTATCTTTTCCAAAGCACTGTGACAACTTACCGTAGCACTAAAATAGTTCATTGTGAACATGTTTATTATTCTATAATATTTCAATGGCCTGAGGTGGATTTTGTGGCTTTATTTTATTTTATTTGTCTGTCTCTGTTTTCAGACTTTGTATTGTATGGCTGAATCTGAAATAGTCACCCTCAATGGATTATTCAAATACAGTTTTTATGGTTTAAGAGTCTTTGTTACATCTTTTCACAAGCTTTTGTGAGCACAATGTCAGAAACATCATACACACTGGAATATGCAAGACCATTAGTCAGCACATGACAATGTGTATGGAGTCAGTGATATCCAGAATCAGATCCATGCGTGGTCTAGAAATGGATGCTTGACACATGAACAACCCTCTATCATTAACAGGAAACTCTGATTGTCTTCTCTTCAGTGCAGCAAGCTTCCAGAGATACATGTGTGTTGTGATGCATGGTAGAATGTTAACTATTGTGAACTTACTATAGAATGTCATCCATTGTAAGGTCGTGGCAGAGATGTGGCCATTGTGAGGTCATTGTGGAGGGATACTATTGTGAGCTTATGGTAGAATGGTTCTATGCATGTAACCTTGAAAATCACATGACGGTCACACGTGAATCGGTTATATCAATAATGAATCTGTTGTAGGTTTATAGCACGCATCTGATGAAACCTGTCAAGAAAATGTCTAGGTCACATTTAATCCATAATTTAACCTATCATGAAGGTGGCTTTTGATTTTAGGGTGACATGTGACCTTTTCTGTGAGATTTTTTTGTACCTCATCATATAGTTTAGGTTGTAATGTTCCAGATTCTCGTTTCTTATCCATTCATGCTTATTTAACTGGTGTGATACTGCAGTAGAGGTATAAGTAAATGTTATTTTAATGGAATTGGGTCCGTTATTCGCTACGTTTTTTTAGTTATTTAGTAAATTAATGGACACCATTTTTCTTTTCAGTGAACGTTTACATTTTATTTTGAGTCCTAGCATACGTTTCCCATAAAGCCGAGCGTGTGGTGTCAAGCGTGGATTGGTTTGTCGTCGCTTCACCCCCCTCTCACGCGGACCTTTAAACCCATCCAATACAAAGCGCTCTAATTTGCATACAGAGAGCGCGTAACCAATGAGGTTGACAGGCTGAAGAGCTTTACTCAATTCAAACCAATATCTGAGGGCGTTATATTAGCATATTTGCTTCGCAGACCAATCGCTTTGAGGAATGGCGGTTAAGTGTAGACAGAACTGACCAATGGACAAAGACGAGGGTAGAGTCTGAGGTCTGCATAATATTAACATGTTATTACCAGAGGTGTTTTAGATATTGATCCTGTGTTCGGTGGTAGTTACACTCATTCCCCTATCTCACAGGTCCATACCTGCTTTTCTAATTTAATAAAGACAAGTGACAGGAAAATTTGAAAAAATGCCCAAGAGGAAGGTAAGTCAGTTTATATTTACAATTTCCTAAAATATCCTCGATTTTCCCTCTTTTTTTTAAAAGAAATAGCGGCTCGCGTTTTTAACGATGAGAAACGTACACACAACGTCGAGCAGGTAAAATGAGGATCAAGTTTTTAAAGCGTTCTATCCTAATCCGCGGGTTGGATTATGGAATCCTGCAAAAGCATTGGAACGTTCGATCATCTTTCCATTCGATCCTCGTCACTTGCTGATTTCCTCCATGATAGTTGGCGGTTTAATAACCCGATGTCTCTTTCGCAGTGAATTCGCCACTCACTCCGTGCGCACTTGTACTGAATGTCACTTTGCGGTGATGCTTCAGTCTCCCTCGGTTAGACTCGAAACCGAGAGCTCTGCTCGAATGCGTCGGAGACTCGCAAACCTCCATTTTAAGATGTTCGTTTTTTTTATTAGCTCACTTTCGTCGATCGATAGAGGTCCCCCATTATTTTTGCATGGCCATGTTTGAACCGACTGGCTCTTCCTCCACCCCCATTGCGGAGCGGCAGACCCGTATGTAACAAAGCGCTCTGTCAGTCACACTCAACTCTTTCTCTCATTTTTAGAGGCGATTATGACGGTAGACAAAACGAAACCGTGCTAAACTGTGGACTTCATGTGATAAAACCACAAAATAAAAATTGTACAAGTATAACAGCACGTTTGTACGTCAAATGATGCTTTATCGACAATGAACCAAAGTCCACAGGGCTTCACTATCTCAAATCAGCGGGAGGGGGGGCGTCGACTAATGCCTAACAATGTGGGGGGGTTACCCCACCCCCCACACACACAAGTTTTTGATAATCAGAAATTAAAAAAAAAAAAAAATTAAATTATGATACTCGTGTTGTATCAGCCAGATATGTTCATGATGAAGGAAATGAAGCGGGAGTTTCTCTAGGGGGAGTGTCTCTTCAATTAGTGAGGCTAAACAATGGACACTTTCCAAGAATAGCTTCCAAAACTTCTCAAAGCAAAATAATAATAATATCAATACATTAAGTGTGGCTTTTTCAACAAAAGGTCAGTGTCAAATAAAAAATGAGGTGTCTGTTTTTCAGAATATGTGCATTAACCACAGAATGTCAAATTTCTATTTAGCCTATACTATTATTAGTTTAAAAACACGATTTGTGTGATTTTTGTTTTTTTTACTATTTATAAATGTTAAATAAACCAAATAAAAAGTTGACATTTATTCAAATAAAATAAAAAGGTGTCAATTTATCTGTCCTGATTAAGACAGGAATGGTTTAGGGTTAGATTTGGGACAAAAATTTGGCTTTTAGTTGCTAATTAATAAAAATTGAATGATATTTGAATGCCGTGCTATACATGTTACTTTTTGGGTGTCCGTTTTTTCATGTTTTTGCTAGATTATGTGTAGCAGTATTCAATTTTAGAACATTATAAATATCTTTTTGGTCATTATAATACACTCACAATGAATTGAATATCAGCAGGTTATGTCAAAACAACATTGTATGATTGTAATTGTTGGATACATAGAAAGTCTAGACCTTGGAAGTTTACTACAAAGCTTACTTTGTTAAAAAATGGGCCTAACATATCTAATAGGCCTATTTCTCACAACAATAATACATGAAATGTGTGCATCAGCATCTATTAAAATTATAATAATAATAAAACACCAATTTTTGGAAAGTGCTAGACATAAAATAATTTTTCAAATTCAAAAACTTTTCAGGCTTTCCCATTTACATAGATAAAATGCATTATACACAGATCTAAATTGGCATCCAGTTTATTAGAGTGTGTAGATGTGGCCAGTTAAATTGTGCCCAGAGAACGAGTAAACAAGAAGTCAAAGTACCAGAGATAAATTACTATACACCATAGGCTTGATTATAATGAAGTCTGACAAGCAAAAGCTGCTTATGGTGAACATTGTGTGTGAACTGAGATGAATTAGCTGCTCTTTGCAAGTGTCACTTTATCAGTAAAAGATAACCTGTTGGCATCTAAATAGTAGCATGTCCTCAAAGTACTTTGTCTCAGAAATATTTTTTTTTAAATCGTATTCAATCTGTACCTGTCAGACACGATAAAAAATGTATTTATGTGAAAAAATGTCCGTATGTACAAATTTTGCATGTTCGTTGTGTCTATGCAGTCACCCGAGGGAGCGGAGGCCAAAGACGCCACCAAAGTTACTAAGCATGAGGTAATTCAAATGTTTTTATTTATCTAATGTAAAACTGATAAAAAAATCATATTGTATGTACATTTTGCTTGATTGACAGTCCAAAATAATGTTTTTTCCGTCTTATAGCCCACTCGGAGGTCAGAGCGTCTATCCTCAGTAAGTGTTTTTGCTCTCTTTCCATATGCCCATATATCATTTGCATATTCCCTATAAGTGTTCACTAGAAACCAGTCTTGGGAACGGGTTTGTCATAAACATATAGTGCTATCACATGCCCTCTGGGTATCCTGAACTTCAAACACATGGGTTTGTTTTATTACATTGTATCATCCACTTAGACGATTTAGATTGGTTTAGTTGAACTTGAAATTCTTCTTAAACTTCCATATTATTATGTCAGAAAATAATTTACGACTCATTGTGCCCTTTGCGTTGTCTGTTATGACACTGTTTTCAACTTCCTTCATCCTGTTTTCTTTTTTCAACCCTCAGAAACCAGCTCCTAAACCCGAACCAAAGGCCAAAAAAACAGCTGCCAAGGTAACAGCTCTCTCTTTCTCTATCTTTGTGGCATTTTACATTTTTAGCAAGTTTTTGCATGTGCTTTGCATTGTAGGTAATTTATTTCCTTATATGAAAGTAATTTACACATTATGTTTGTGTATTGTATGGACAGTATTAACTTTTTAAAGCCACGATTTTGTTGCATTTTTGCAGTAGAGAGAGCTGGTGTGAACTGGCCGGTGTGTTCTGGAGTAATTAAAATTGTTTTGGTACACAATTATTTAATTTGTTGTTCCATTTGTGTTCTATGCACAGAAGCCATCCAATGACAAAGCGGTAAAGGAGAAGAAGGGCGGAGCCAAAGGAAAGAAAGAGGAGAAAGAATCTGCGCCCACTGCAAATGGAGAGACCAAGCCAGAGGAGGTGGGCTAACTCTTTTTAGTCGCTAATGCCATTGTCTAGCATTTTCAGTACTTATCTACGTTGTCGTAATAGAGAAATGACTCATTAAAGAGCACATATTAAGTATAATCATAATGATCCGCAAAAACCTACGTATATACACTAGTGTTCAAAAGTTGATAAGATTTTTCAATGTTTTTTAAAGGGATAGTTCACCCAAAAATTACAATTTTGTCATTATTTACTCACCGTGACCCTAATGTTGTTCAAAACCTGTTTGAGCATCTGTTGAACTCAAAAGAAGATATTTTGAAGAATTTTGATAACCAGACAGTTGACGGTAGCCATTGACTTCCATTGTATTTTTTTTTTCCTACTATAAAAGTCAATGGCTACCATAAACTGTGTGATTGCCAACATTCTTTAAAATATCGTCTTTTGTGTTCAACAGAAGAAAGAAACTTGCATAGGTTTGGAACAACATGAGTAAATGATGACAAAATGTTAATTTTGGGGTAAACTTATTTATTTAAGTCTCTTATGCTCACCAAGGGTGCATTTATTTGATCAAACAATATTGTGAAATATTTAAAATTTAAATATATATATTTTTTCCTTTCTGAACAAAAGTATTTATAAAAAAAAAATATCTTGCTGACCCCAAAATTTGAACTTTTTTTTTTTTATATATATATTCATTGGTCATTTATTATTGCATAATGCACATCAAGTTGCTAAACTGAGCTCAGGCCTTGTAATAGGTACATTTTGCATTCATTTTGTCACGAGAGCTATCTCCCCTTCTTCAAAACGCTCTGAGATTACTCAAATTGCCCTCCAGGACACGATAAATGTTTTCTTAGAACATTCGTTGTGTGAACAAGAATGAAAGAGCGGACATGTGAGGTGGGAAAGAATGACCTAGTTACAGACATGTTGTGGTGTATTCTGGATGGTTTGTTCTGAAATGACTGGGTGAGAATTGGTGGCATTATGTTAAGTTTAGAAGGGCTGACGGTGACAACGGGTATAATACTGATTTAAAAAATAAACAACTTAAGGATAATATTCTTTGTTATTTTCATATTGTTGTGCCAAATGAACTACCATAAACCAGCTTATACTCTTATAATATTAACCATGAATCTTATTAGAGAATAGCCGATTTTGTGGGATAGTCAAGATCGGTGTATCTCCATCTTAATATAATTTGTATAACTTGCTTTTCTAATCCTCTTGTGACAAAAATGATTAGCTAAACATGATAATGTATTGTTCAGTGCTTTGTACTAACATGGATTACATTATACTGACCAATATCTAATGGTCTTATCCTGTATCCCTTTCCTTGGCTTCTCAAACACCTGCATGTGCCCTCACCCTCACACACACACATACACACACACACAGATCTGTGTCTCACGCTCATCTGTCAGTGTGTCATCATGGAGAAGTTCCGCCCCCTCCTTCCTGTCCATCCGAGGGCAGAGCGAGAGTGTTAGAGTAAAGGGTACGAGTGTTTGAAGAGTGCAGTGTGTTGTTTGTGTGCTCGCTCGCCACTGTACAGTCTAGTTTTATTTGTGTTTCTCTTTGTTAGACTATACAAAATAATAATTAATAACATTGCTAACCATGTTCGGTATATATGACATCATTTTGATATTATGAATCGCATCTAAAAGTGTTATTTCAGAGCCACTACCTTCATCAGACGGTACTAAAAACGTTAATCAGGTTTTCAGAATATATTAATGGGTCCGATAAACACATTGGTCAGTATATCAACATTAGGTTGGGATAGAAGAAAATATTGAAAAAAAATTACACAATTAATCTTAAAATGTATTAATTCAAAGTTCCCTTTGAGACGTAATTGTAAAGATATAAATGCAGTCTGCTGTCTGTTTTGTCCTGATATATATATATTATAAAGGATGTTAAGTTTAATAAATCATGATTTCCAGTTTGAGGTAAATTGGTCATCATCTAATATGTGGGCTTACTTGTACTAACCGAGTGGTTTTGGTTGTCTTCTCATAACATAATCTAACAGTTAAGAAAAACGAAATAACTCATATCAATAGTCTGTCGTCTACATTTAAGAAAGTAATTTACTTTTTTCTTTTGTGCTTTTTTTCATTGTATAGGAAACTGAGACGGCTGATACCGAGGCTGAGGAGAAAGAGTGATTGAAGTTGTTTTCTGGAATAACAAAGAACATTTTTTATTCCTATTGAGTATTTTGTAAAATGCAAACTTTTTTTAGACTTATCGTACTAGATTTCCTTAGCTAAAAGTCGACTCACACTCCCCGCTGAAGCACCGTACCCGTCTCCTTCTCTTTCATCCGACAGAAGGATAGATTCGTTTCAAGGAAAAGCAACAATTATTCTTGAATATTTCACCAGCAGCTCGCCTGCCAAATTCAGCCACTTCCGGTTCATCTTTTGCCACCAGAGTGCATAGCCTTAGCTCCATGTATTTGGTTACTAAGGTCTTTGCTGTGTATTGTCTTTGAGTCTTATTTAATTGGTTGAATATCTTAAAAAAGAGAGGGAGTATATAGGGAGGAGAGATTTAAAGTTGTAACCCTTCGCCTTTTTTTAATCTCCTTTGTAGCATTTTAAGATTCAAGTGAGTTCTTTTAAAATTGCTGAATTAAACATGACCCTTAACAGTGGCAGATATCCATAGCAATAAACAAGTGGTGCTTTGTGCTAGAAGGTTAGGAAAACTCTACAAGAATTGAATCTCTGACAAATGTAAAAGTCCACAAAACTGGTTTGAGATACTCTCTGTAAAATGTTTTCAAAAAAAAAAAAAAGATGAATAAACGGTCAATAGACTATTTTATGCTTGTTATTGGTTGTTTTTTTAATGCTCCACAAGTTCTGGGTTGTCTTTATTCTCACAGTTCACAGCAGCCTTAAAGGGATAATTCACCCAATTCATCATTTACTCACCCTCATGTTGTTCCAAACTCAAAGGAAGATATTTTGAAGAATGTCGGAAGCCAAACAGCTCCATACTATTGAAGTCAATGGGGTCCATCAACTTTTTATTTAACCATATTCTGTTCAACAGAAGAAAGAAACTCAACGGGTTTGGAACAACTTGAGGGTGAGTAAAAGATGACAGAATTTTCATTTTTGGGCGAATTATCCCTTTAAGGCCTGTTCACACCAAGAATGATAACTATATTAGCATCCACACCAGCGGACGATATCATTCTGTTTATTGTAAGCGTGCGCTGCAGTGCGCTGACATCCAGCATATAAAATGTTCAAGCTCTTAAAAGTTTTATGGATTCTGATTGGCTGCCAATGATTTAATCATTCATGAGCTGGGGGGAAAAAATCGTTCTGAAAGTGATTTCAACTGTATTGTTAGTTGTGGTGTGGACTTTATATGCTATTTTATATAATGATTTTTAGAGCTATATCGTTGGCTTTATAGTTATCGTCCTTGGTGTGAATGGGCCTTTAGTGTTGGTATAGCCTGTATTTTAACCCTCTTTGATACACATGGTGATATTGAAATGGAATATATATACATAGCTCAAATTAAATTTTTTTGGGGAAGAATATACATATATTAAATAAAATTATAAATATGTAAGAAAATTAAATATTGGTACAACAATGAAAAATGGTCAAAAACTATACCAATGTGTATTTCATGAACTAATATAATTCTACATATGAAATTAGACTTTAATGAAACCTTATAATTTGTACTTAAATATAAAGGCATAGCTCACCTTTAGTTGGATTTTCTGTGCATAATTAAATCATAATTGTGTCATTTAGGTCCTACTTTATATTAAGTGGCCTTAAGTACTACTTATTTTTCGATGTAAGTACAGTGTACTTATTGTGTTCAGATTGTATAGTAAAAGACTTGGTGTGATACTAGGTGTGCTGGTATGGGTGGGTTACGGTGTAAGGGAAGGGTCAACAGTGTAATTACAAATGTAATTAAATAAATTAATTACAGCAGTAATTACACGTAGTTATTTTTAAAATATAAGTACAATGTTAAAACATGTATGTACACAGTAAGTCCATTGTATCAAAGTATTAATTTTGATGTAAGTACATAGTACTAAAAGCCACTTAATATAAAGTGGGACCCAGATGTAAAATAAATGTAGAGCACTTGTAGAGATCTTTTCCTCTTAAAGAGTAGAGAAAAATCAAATGTCTTGTAACTTACAAGATACAGCATATTATTGATGTATTTAAAGACTGTACTTTTAATCCCAACAAAGCAATTAGTAGCTTTCTGAATAGGGAGAAAGTGAAGTGAAGTAAAACTATTGACAACACTGTACCATAGAGAGTTAACTTTGTGGAAAACTCTTGAGGGTCCAGGGTGTTTAGTCCAAAGCTACAAAAGCCTTTCAGTGTAGTTCTTTATACACAGACACATGTGACCCTAAACACACACAAACACACTAAATACAACTGCTGATGTCAGAAAGTGAAAGGTCAGCAATGGGAGGCAGGAACGGAGAAGAGGAAATGAACGGTCTGACAACCCTCGTTGGTCTAGCCTTCTGTCTTTCTGCAGGCCCAGCCAATAGATAAAAAGCCCCATATAGTAATGTTAATACAGTAAACCTGTTAATGGTCTCACACAAGCAACATGTTTCTGAAATGAAATGAAAGTGCTTCTTTCTCTCAAATTGATATTGATATCCACCCAACCCATTTGTGATAAGGATGCCTTTAGAAAGCAATCACATTGAAATTCATGAACACAAATATATATATATATATATATTTAAAAATGTTATTTACCATTGAATATTAGTCCAGATTAAAATTAAACTGATCAAATTCGTTTTTTCTACATTGCATAAGTTCAAATAAATGCCATGAAAACTCTCATACAATTGAGTCCAAATTGTCACTAAATCTATATCAAAACTGTACAAAAATCTGGCCTTAATTACATGTTGATGCATTATTATCAATATACATTATATAGATCAAATACATATATTTTACCCATAATTCAGGAGTTGCATCCCTTACTTATAATATTTTTTATAAGGCCAAATGTATCTTTTTTTTTTTTTTTTTTTTACAGATTATTATTAGTGGTTACACTTTCAGATATCTTTTTAAATTTTAAAGCTTTTGTCTATAATTATTATTGTGACAGTATAACAGGACGGTTAATCTGTATAATCTGGAAGGTTTAGATGAATCTAGAAAGATAACTCCAACTGGATTAATTTACCCTCACAACCTTTGACCCATGTTTGGCCCCTGAACTCATCATCTGAAATGTTAGTCCTGACCTCCAGTGGCAAGAAGAAATACTGCACACCACTGATCACAAAATAACAGTGTTTTTCCAATTTATCATCTTTAATCCAATAGATTTTAAGAAGGTGTTTAAGATTTTTATTTTTAGTATTCTGAAACTAAATTAGTCATTCTTTCAGAGTATTTTTGCTTTTGTCTGAACCTACTTATGAAGTTTGTTGCCTACTCGGCCACTTCACCAGACCACCGTTTCTCAAAAGTTTGATAAATTGCATCAGTTTTGCTTAAGTGGTCTTGAAGCCAAAGCTGCTATATTCATGTACTTTTCGGGTATCTAAATGCTTTTCTCCTCCACGTTTACTAGTGTCAGTAGTTTAGCAAGTGTTACATCACTAAATGCAGTTAAGACTAACTATTGAACTAAAGGGTTTTCCTAGCAAGGACACATAACAACTTACCTCATCCTTAAAAAAAAAGTCAAAGATTGTATCAAAGTCACCTTTTTAGCTCAGAGAAATACAGAAAAGACAAACCTCAAACACTTGTGTAATGCCTCATGTTGACTTAAAACAAGAAACTGCAGTAAATGTATGCCAGTGTACACAGAAACACAAAAATGCGTGCTTATTTTAAGTCTATAAACCAAACCTACAAAAAATAATAATAATAATTAAGGGATCTAAGTATTTAGATTGTTCAGAACATAAAGTAAATGGTAACACTAGGGTCCACTTCTCACTATTGAGTCATTCTACGAAACGGGTGCCATTTCCACATTGCAATTTTCCAAATTTTCACATTGAACAAACATTTTTTTTATTTTACTTACAACTTAAAGGATATGTTAATCTTTCAAAAAACATATTTTCCCACCTCGGGCACAAAATCCTTAATAATATTATCCTTTTTATTCAAGCAAGGGAGTCTTTCTTTTACCACCCCGTCACGGACAAAATGTGTGCCAGTAGAGTAGTAGAACAAGAAATTTAGTTTTTAAATCTAATGTTTTCCTAATAGTAAAATGTCCTTTTTAAGTAAACTACCAATAGAAAGTCTGAAATTTAATTCTTTTTTTTTATTCTTAGTTTTTTATCTTGAAAAATGAATTTGACATTTCAGTGGCCTCATTGTTTTTACTGAAAAAAATAAATAGACTTAAAAAATACAAATAAATTTAAATTTATTTGATTAGTTCACACAACACAAACATCATTCAACATTAATTTATCTAAAATTGTATTTCTTTTACGTACATTTTTTAACAAAATAACCCCGTGACGGGGTGGTATAAGTGATGTGACGGAGTGGTTCACTGTGACAGGGTGGTATGGACAAACTGTCTCTCTATATGATTTGCTTGTATTAAACTTTATACAACTGGGGGATTGGTTTGGTTTTGTCAACTCAAAACTAATCCTGCAACCCTGAGTTTGTTCAACTACCATCATGGCACAGGCCCCTGATTCAGTTCATCATGAGAGCCCAAGTTGAAAACCACTGTTCTAAGTCAACATTTAATGATAATCATTGATGATTTAGTCAATTAAATAATATCCTCCTTTTAATAACCCTGAAATCAAGGAATGCACACTGTGGGTCCTTTTCAATATCCCTCCTCATCTCCTTGATCCTCCATCCTCTATACTATGACCCGGAAACTGATTGAGCTCAGCCATTCCCTCAGTCAAGACGCTGAATTCGGAACTGCATCCTTGTATGCTCTTATTATTTTCCTATATCTTTCTATGGCAAAAATAGTTGGAGTAGTCTGTTAAATATGCGATTCTGAATTCAATTGTGTCTCATTCGAAGGGGTCACATATGTCATCGAGGTTGTCTAATTTCAGAAAAGTATTGAAAAATGTACTGTTATTCCTAGTGTTATTTTCTATTCTTTTTTATTTGTGTATATTTTAATTGAGCAGGTTTTTAAGTGACAATATGTGCACTACAGGCATAAGAAAAACCATCTACTTAACACTTTTTACTCTATCCATCCCAAATTATACCACAAAAAATAATCAGAAGGAAAAAAGAAAAAAAAGAGAAAAACAAAACAGGGGGGAGTCATTCTTATTTAAGCGCTTATACCTTTTTTCTGTATTTGTCAGCATGTTTTCTTGAGATAGTGATTGAGTGACAGTGATTGAGTGAGTGAATGAGATAGTGTGAAAGAGATAGTGAGTGAAAGAAAGAAATAGTGAGTGAGTAAGTGAGTGTGTGAGTGAACGAGATTATAAGTGAGTGAGTAACAGTGAGTGAGTGAGTGAGTGACAGAGATAGTAAGTAAGTGAGTGAATGACAGTGATTGAGTGAGTGAGTGACATGGTGAGTGAAAGAGATTGTGAGTGAGTGACAGTGAGTGAGTGAAAGAGATCGTGAGTGAGTGACTGATTGAATGAGTGAGAGAGATAGTGAGTGAGTGAGTGAGTGAGTGAAAGAGATAGTGAGTAAGTAATTGAGTGAGTGACAGTGATTGAGTAAGTGAGTGACATGGCGAGAGAAAGAGATATTGAGTAATATGTGTGTGAGTGATATAGTGAGTCATTGAATGAACAAAACAGGGTTAAGT